ATATACTCCTGCATTTATTTTTAATTATGACATTTTCTGTCCTCCTGAGAGTCATTCACATCACAGCACGAGGTGGCGCACAACTTGTTCTTCAAGGTTTGACCAAAATGGCCACAATGCCGTCACTTTCGCAAAAATAAAATGGCTTTGGACTAAAACGTGAAACATTGGCGGATTATATGAATTCCTTCCTGTATGGAAAGTCACTCCTTTAGTTATTTTCGTGCTTTAATCTTGGCTGTTTCCAGTTTAATAAACAACAGTTCGTATTAAGCCAGCCGACAGTTGCTCATTACTGCCCCCTTGTGGAGGTCACCAACAACTCCCAGTGCTCCTCCGGTGCGCGCTCTCCACCTCCACTCACTCCACACACAGACAGGCTTGGATGGAGTTTTCATAGATGGAGCATCATGTTGCTAGAGAGAGAGAGAGAAAAACCCCACAACAACATTAGGGTGTGGTTACAGTTGCCCACGTCGATTCATATCTAATTTCTCCCTGCACAAAAGCGCCCCCACCTCCCCACGCCCCCGCCTCCTCTTGTCCCTCAGAGCTCAGAGGAGGAGGCGCCCCACTCCTGAGGGGGTCCGGAGCCGACCCACGGTGGAAACATGTGCCACAGGGCGGACGACGTGTCTCTGGGAGACCGCATAAGGATGTCCTTCAGCACGGGGCCGGCGCTGAGCAGCTCCGCTCCGGGCGCTCCGGGCTCCGGGAGGTCCGGCCGGAAAGTTGCGGGCTGTGAGAAGTGCTCCGCGGCTCTTGTTGCTCTGAAGAAGCAGGCTCTGAGTCTGGCTGTGCACCATCACTTCTCCTGCAAGGTCAGTCCTCAATCAAGCTCTGATGAAGATCAAGGAACACGACTAGGCTTCATTTCCTTATAGTTCAGCTGAAACTCAGTGTTAAATGAGATTATTTTAAAATGAAACTGCATATCTGATGGCTCTTTGTCTTCTCTAAAACGTGTTTGAAAAATGTGAGCATGACTGATGAGTGTCCATATTTGAGTCACCCTGTTATTCATCTTATAAGCGGAAGAAGATGGAGATGTTCATTTTGCCAGTGGGTTTGCCTGTTAGCAAAATGTCTCCTCTCCTGAAAAGAAAATAAAAAAAGGCAGATTTGAATGAATCTCTTTTAAAACAATTCCTGAACTTAAATCTGCAGCTGAACGATAACTGAGAGTCATTCCCATCAGATCAAACAAGATATGCTTTTAAAACTTTATCATTAACTATTACAGTCAGCAGTGTTGTATAAAACAGTGGTTCCCAAACTTTTTATCTTCTGACCCACAAAATATCCATGACAAAAACTCGTGACCCCAAATATTACTG